TGTCAAGTGACCTTCAGATTTTGGTGGGGGAGAGGGAGGGAAATTTCATTTGGGTGTAACAAGGTTCATGGCAGGGGACAAAAGCCTAGGTCGGGATGTATTATAGATTAAATTACAGAAGGCACAGTGTGCTTTATTCAGAGCATTCACTATAGTACTTTTCTCCTTTTTTTTAACACGAAGGGATTTGTGACTTTGGGATACATATTTATTTGTTGAGTGTATTTATAAATCCCACCTTTCTCCTGACAAAATCAGGATCTAAGGCAAGTAGTAACAAATGCACCAAAGAATTAGCATTTATTAAAATCATTAGAAGACATCATTAAAACAGGTAAACCAGAGCCCACTCTCATAACCTTCAAGCTGCCCCATAATTTGTTTACAGCCTTGTTGGACAGAACCAGGGATGTACCGGCCTCACACCCCTTCTGGGAGAACTGCTCCAAGGGCAGCATGTCAACCACAGACCTAGATGGTAACAGATCATATTCTCCTGAGCAAAGGGAACCTGCTGTGTGGAGGGCAATTACTACATGTTCATATTGGGAGAGAGTGATTTAGGATTGCCAGGTCCCCCCTGGCCACTGTTGGGGGAACAGGGAAATAGGGGTGCCAGACCCAGATTGGGAAATACCTGGAGATGTGGGGATGGGGCCCGGGGAGGACAGGGACCTCAGTGGAGTACAATGCCACAGAGACCGCCCTCCAAAGCATCCATTTTCTCCAGGGGTACTGATCTCTGGAGGAGGAGATTGGATTTATACCCTGCCCTTCACTCAGAGCAGCTTACAAACTCCTTCCCCTTCCCCTCCCCACAACAGACACCCTGTGAGGTAGGTGGGGCTGAGAGAGCTCTGACAGAAACGGCTCTTCTTCAAGAACAGCTCTTAATCAGAATTATGGCTTGCCCAAGGTCATCCAGCAGCTGTGAGTGGAGTAGGGGATCAAACCCGGTTCTCCCAGTTGAGAGTCCATGCACTTAACCACTATACCTAACTGGCTCTTGAAACTGGTTTGGAGATGAGCTGTAATTTTGGGGGGTCCCCAGTCCCACCTCGAGGATGGCATCCCTAGGAGAGATAGTCCTAGTGGAGAATCAATGTGGTATAGTGGTTAGACTGTCAGACTGGGAGACCCAGTTTCACCACCGCACACTGCCATCAAAGCTTGCTGGATGACCTTGGGTCAGTCACTCTCTCACTGTCTAACCTATTTCATGGGTTGTTGTTGGGTAAGCTGAAAATGATGTTATAAGTTGCTTTGGGTCCCTATTGGGGACAAAAGTGGGATATAAATAATAGTACTAGGCTCATCATTTGTAAAGATAGTCACACTCTTCAAACCAGTGATCTGACCAGAGGTATCTGTGGTTCTGAGGAATAGTAATCCATGGTCTGAGAAATGGGCAGGGAGGGAAGGCCCTCTTACGATATGTTACCACAGCTGCCTGAAAACTCCGTGTAACCTGCGGTAGGGAGCTGGATATGCAATGCATAATAATTAACGTCTTCCTTGGGAGCTATTCCATGTAATATGAAAGTTCATTTTTTAAAATCTTAGAACTGTTTGGATGGTGTTACATATACAGCAGGGAGGGAAGGGGCCTTCTTTTTTATTATTATTACTTAACATGTTACAGTTCAAGCTGTAGTAGTCAGTACACGTTCCTTATTGTTACTGTATATAGACTGAGGCTGAATATTGGTGTTCACAGGAGGATCCTTGTGTGGGCTGAATCCCAATGCAGGATTGTTTACTTTTCAAGGGAAATTTAAAGGAAAGGGGAGAGGGAGTAGGAAACCAACCAACTGGATAAAACTTTCCCCTTTTCTCCAGGCTGGCTGTGGCATCTGATGGGCAAAGTGCAGCTGAACTCGCACCATGACACAGTGCTTTGGATCTAACCACAGAACAACACTGAACCATTTTGATGTACTTGGCCGTAGAGCCAAGACTGGAATGGCATGTGACTGTAGGCAAGGAGGGGTTAGACCAAGCCAAGTACATCAAAATTGTGACACAATTTTTTTCCTAAGGTTCTTGCGAACAGGCTACAAACTATAATTATGGATTATATTGCACCAGACCAGACAGGATTCATTCCTGACAGGTCCATGACTGACAATATATGACATCTTTTAAATATAATATCTTACTGCAAACAACAAGATCAAGAGTCTTTGCTACTTATGGTAGACCTTGAGAAGGCTTTCTACAGTGTGGAAGCCAAATATCTCACACAGCTGCTATCATTTATGAACTCTGGGGTAAAATTCAAAACAGCCATCTGTACAATCTATGCGAACCCTACAGCCAAAGTTCATTCCAACATCCTCAGCAGACCCTTTTCTCTCCCGAGGGGCACCAGACAGGGGTGTCCCCTGTCACCACTTATTTTTGTCTTGGCAATTGAAACATTGGCGGTGGCTATAAGAAACAATGCCAAGGTCCAAGGAATACAAATCTGCACAGAGACACACAAACTCAGTTCGTATGCGGACGACCTAACAATCTTCCTGTCAACCCTGGACTCATCCTTGTCAGAGCTACAACAGATCTTCAAGGACATGAACGATATTTCTGGCTTGAGGGTTAATCTAGACAAATCACAAATTTTTCCCCTTCACATAACTCAAGAAACAGAAGAAAAAATAAAGAGCAAACTTCCATATAAATGGGTAGATACATAATGGAGATGTTTAGGCATCTGGATACCGCCAAACCTATCAGACTTGGTTAAATGCAAGTTCAACAAAACGATCCAAGAAGCAAAAAACAAAATCAAGTCAAGTCAAGCCAAGTCAAGTTTATTAGTACGGTCAAGCGACCAGCCAATAGAACGTTTCCAAGAATAATAATAAAATACACAATAAATACATAAGTACCTAGTAAATACATACATCGAATATATATAAAACCTTTAAACGAATACAGGAACAATACAATATATCATTGAAACACACCAATACAACGCTAATTTGTCATCAAATCACTATCTAAGGTATAAGCTTCCTCTTTTTAAGGGCCAGAAAGCAAAATTTTGCCACAGCTAAAGATATCCTCTCTATCCAGTCTTCCAGCAAAAAAGTTAAAATCCTCAGTTCCGCAATTTTCAACTGAACATCCAAGGGTTTGAATTTGGACAACAATGGGGAAATTAACAGCTGACTCTCCATAGCATAAAAGTTACAATGTAACAATATATGTGAGACCGACTCTATTTCAAGGTTTGTACACGGGCAACATCTTTGGGAACTAGGCCAGCGCCGAAACCT